GCTCGGTGAGGCAGCCTTTTTTGTCTTTTTAAGTTCTGGAGTTCTGGAGACTCTTCTAATGGGCCTGGTACTCGGAGATGGGGACTGCCTTCTTTGGGGTGAGGCTGACATTCCTCTTCGAGCCGGTGGAGGACGTGAGGTCTGAGGAGCTCGAGGCCGTGGTGAGGGAGAATGCCGTTTGTTTGGTTGTGGTGACCGGGTCTCCCTGGGAGCACGGCTTGGGGAAGACCCTTTCTTAGGCTTTGATGAGACAGAAGGTGAGCGTCTCTTGGCGGCTGGGGAGCTTCTCTGTTTGGGAGGCGGAGAGGGGGAGACCCGGCGCTTTGGTGGTGGGGATGGTGATGCCCTTCTCTTGGGAGGGGGTGGGGGCGAAGCCGTCCTTCTCTTTGGAGGTGGAGAAGGAGAGTATCTCCTCTACGGGAGGAGAGTATCTTCTTGGGGAAGGTGAGCGCCGCCGAGGGGGAGGTGAGGGAGTCCTTCGTCGTGGCGGTGGTGTGGGGGGGATCTGCGCCGCCGAGGAGGAGGAGCTGGTGAGGGTGAGTGGCGTCTTCTGGCAGGTGGAGGGGAGGGGCTTCTCCTTCGTCTACCACGAGGGGAGGTCTCTTTCTGGCGCTTTCGTGGTGATGGAGACGCACTTCGGGAAGGGGAATGTCTCCACCGCCGGCCCACCTCACCATTTTTCACATGGGATCGCTTGGGTCGCTCATCTTCAGAGGAAGAGGATGAGCTGGAGTCAGATGAAGACTGCTGGTTCTGTCGTCTGTACTGGCGTCGCTGCTGCACAGAATCAGCTGCAGCCATCTTGCCGCCTTTATCTTCTTCAGATTCAGATAACTCTACTTTTCTAGGCTTTGGTGCTGGTGCTGGTGATTCTGTTTTCTCAGTACCTTTATGTTTTGTTACTTTACCTGAAGTTCTCCCCGGAGACACAGAAACACGACTTTTTCTTGTACGGTTTGACTGCTGGGGCGTTGGGGAATGACGTGTTTTTGGTGGTGGAGTAGCTGGTGGGGATGGCCTGTGCCATCGAGGACTTCGCCTTGGAGGACTTGCTGAAGGAGATAACCTACGAGTTTTTCGAGGGGGGCTGGACGTCCTCTTGGGAGGTTTCTTTGGTGGTGACCGGGAACGAGATGAGGAGGATGATGAACTGCTCCCAGGCAGCGATGCTGATGACCGCCTCCGTCTTACGGGAGATCTACTCCTTCTGTGCCTTGGAGGTGGCGGCATTCGTCGTGGTGGGCTTCTTCTTCGAGGAGATGGTCTCCTTCTTGGGCTTGGCCGCCTTCTGGGTGAGTATGATCTTGATCGGGACCTATGGCGCCTTCTTGGTCGAGTATGAGGAGACCGAGAACGGGTCCGTGACCTTGACTTGGAACGTGACCGAGATCTTGGCCGTGTCTTGTCTTTTTCTTTTTTGGAATTTTTCTCCGGAGTAGGTTCTTTAGGTTCTGGCATGGGCTCAGGCTTGGGAACTTTCAGGATGTCACTAGTAGATGTGGCCTCTTGTACTGAAGGTTCTTTTACTTTCACTGAAGGTTCA